GACTTCTAGACGCCTACTTATTTCATTGTGGAAAAGTTGGCAATCAGCCCATTAGACTCATTCAAGCCAATTAGGGCCTATTGCAAGAATGGTGTCTTCCGGAAGAACATCAACTGGCCGTTCTGTTTGGCCGAATGGTTTGGATTCCCTCCAGATGACGTCTTCAAAGTTCGAGGGAACAGAAACACAAGCACTCGGTCAGAGGGAGTCTGTCTTTCCGCCACTAGAAGGCTGGAAATGCAGTCTGTCTTGGTCAATTAAGGTGATCTCGAGCGGCATAATTGAATTGTCCCAACAAAATGATGATCAAGCCTGAAAATGCGGTGGCGGTTGGCGCAAAAAGCCGGCATGGACGCAAAACTTGCCTCATAATATCTTCGCGCCCAGTCATGTTGGGCCAAAAGTTCCGCTTCCCTCGCGAAGACAAGCAATCTGTCCGCGCTCGGTTGCCCCGGTTGCACTGCGTGGGCTCGCTCGCGGGGGCTGAAGTGACTGTTCAGCGCAACATGCATTTCGTTGACGAGGTAGACGAAAAGGTCGTGGATGAATTGCTGAAGAAAGGGACGGCAGTGTCAGAGACGAGGAGACAGAGCGAAAAGGATGCGAGAAAATGGGTACTCAATCGTGACCGGAACATGCTTAACTTGCCTGCAATTCGTCTTGACTCGAGAATGATTGTGTACGAAAGAATTTCTCCCTGACTATTTTGACAACGCCAGTTTTCAGTCTCTCTTTGTAGGCGAAAAATTTTCCAGAGTTGTTTAGAACCTGGAAAAGCTTCTGCTTCCTATAAAATGTGGTTTAGAAGTATTGAAAATCCTTGTAAAACGGTCAACTTACATCTGAGCAATATGCTCTTCCGACAGATCCAGCTTGCCTGATTGCCCTGGCGACAGTGTCCTTGTTGCAGGTGGCAAGGGAAGGCGGCAGAAGATGGCGTGAAAATAGGCAGAAAAGCTATCATCAACTCAAAGAATCATTCGGTTAAAGGGAATTATGGTAGTTGCACTTTGAAGAATCCCTTTGCAAATTCATGTTGTAGATACGAAGAGAAACTTGGTTTCGATGAATATCCCGAAATAACATTTTTAGGCGAACCTTCAAAAAGAAGGCGACTCAATTTGTCTGCTCGGCGATGGTTCTATTTTCACTCAAATTCGCCCAAAATGTTAGAGTTAGTTTATCAACCAAACCAGACATGTCAAATTACACAACCCCAGTCTTGACTTTCCTTGTGGGGTTAAACGTTAATGACCCTTGACTGAAAGGTTAGGACAAGTGATTTCTTAACTTGATTTGCATGCTTACAAGCTCATATTTCATTATCTCAAGCATACTTGTTTACGGACTTACGCAGTCTCGGTCAAAGATTGTCTCTTGGGCATGAGAACCTGAGATTTAACCGTTGACAACTCTAATTTAGGAACCGTATTGCATATAGACGCTAACACACACAAATATACATGCTCATATAATCGAGCAACACTAAGAGAACCAGTATGAAAGAAAATTAACCAAACCACTCTATATCTATCTATCTA